AAGGACCAGCGGTGGGTTTCAAAAAAATTTGGAACCTCTTCTGTAGGTGTGGCCTGCTTTCCGGGTCCACTGGTGGGACCTCTTCTAACCGGTTCGGTAGATTTGACGAACCGGTTCTACCGAATAGGAACCCACCTCTGTTCTGGGGGCTCCCTCCCCCCCACCCCCCACACGAAGGGCGGGGCATTGTGTGCCACTCCATGTCTCCCCCTGGCCTTTGCCCACTCCCTGCCCAGCGGGCTCTGCTCAGACCCAGCGTGGGAAGAGGCGTCTGCTGGGTTTGCCAATGACCTCCCCCCCACCCATCTCCCCTCCCTCCCCCCACCCTTCAATAGGAAGGTAGGACAGGGATGCAGGCTGGGTCCTCACTCTGCCCAGGGGAGCCAATGGGGTCCCCTCCCACCTCCCCGCCCAGCAGCTCCTGACACGGGGAGGGAAGCTCACTCCAGGTCTGCTAGCCAGAGTCAGATCTCCCCCACTGAAGCCGGTTCCGCTGCACCCAAAGTCCCCGGAGGCCTCCTCGTCGGCCTTTCGGTGCTCTTCTCTCTACATGGAGCATCTAGCTGAAAGTGGGGGAGGTGCGACTGCGGCAAATAAAGAGCAGAGAATAAAAGGAAATCCGTACCTGCCTTAACAAAAGGCAACGGCCGCGTTCCCCAAGCTGGCTCTGCCACACCAGCTACCCAAAATATGGCTTAACCGTTTGGCAGGATTCCCTCAAGGGCTCCCTCCAGCCACGCCAGCCCCACAAGGGCCACTAAAGGGGCACCCTGCAGCCCCAAACGGCCCCGGTCCTACCTTGACTCCACGGATGCGGAACTCGGCCAGAGCCCGGCTCATCTTGGAGGCTGCCGTGGGGTGGTCCTTGCCATGGGCGATGACCTTCACCAGGAGCGAGTCGTAGTGGGGGGAGATGATGGCTCCCTGGAAGGCAGAGGCGCTGTCTAGGCGGATGCCCATCCCCTCGCCACTCCGGAAGACCTGGAGGAGAGGGGCCAGAGGTCAAGTCCAGGAATCACTGTGGACGTCCTGCACCAGGGAAGAGGCAGACTCGTCCAAATGCAGAGTCCCCCGGAGCCCCTCCCCCCGAACCTGGTCTGTGGGCTGCAGCGGAGGGAAAATCGTGCTCTCTGATTCTGTCCTCCGGATGTGCATCCCGACTTCCATTCATGTTTTCTTTCTTTTTCTTTGTCGCCCTGTTTCTGTTTTCCTTTCTTTCTCTGTATCAAGACCATTTTTTAAAAAGCAGCTTTTCAGAAAAGCTGAATGCACGAGTAGGCGAGGCCAAGTCTCCAGGCCCCAAAGAAGCCCCACCTAGCCCTGTGGCTCCTTCCCTGGTTAGGCTGTTCCCTGGCCAATGGTGCCAGTGCCAGGGATCAGCTTCCATGAAGCTGGAGCAGCTTTTGCTGAGTGGACCTGGACCAGATTCAGGGCAGGTGGGCTTCGGAGGCTGAGAGATTCCTTCAGCCACCCAGAGACCCAACAATCCACAGTGCCCCCCCGGACAACTCTAGCACACGCCTACACCCCCGCAAGAGCCACGATAGCTTTCCCTGGGAGATCAGGGCCTTCTGCTCCCCCTTGGTAGCCAAGGGGTAAAGCGCAGAGGCTGGTGACAACCTTGTAGGTCGGCTACAAGGCTGCCAGCTCAGCCTCTAAAGCAGTGGGTCTCACCCTATGGGTCGGGACCCCTTTGGGGGTCGAACGACCCTTTCACAGGGGTTTACCTAAGACCATTGAAAAACACATATTTTCAAAAAAATACTGAAAACATAAAATAATTTTATGGTTGGGGGTCACCACAACATGAGGAACTATATTAAAGGATCGCGGCATTAGGACCAGTGCTCTAAAGAGACTGGGGGGGGGGGGGGCCCTCTGGCATCCTTCAGCTCTCCCCCTCCCCAGTGTCCAAGGCACTGCCTGCAGAGTCAGAGGTCAGCTGGCATGTTTCCTGGAATAAGCCTCAGAGAAGGAGGAGGATTAGCAGTGGCCGAGGAAAAGAAAACGCATCGGGCCTTGTAGGTTTTGTGCATGGGGGGTTTCTTTTTTGAATTCTTTTTGAATTTTATTTTAATACAAACATTTCATCATTCGTTAAATAGTGTGTCGTCTGGGTGCAAATTTTTTGTGTCATAATAGTTAAAGCTTACCACCATATTCATTACGCATATCTATTCTTATTTTAATACTAGTACTTAAAAGTTCACATATCTATTGTTATAACATTTTTCTTAACTTATTTAACTTTGTAATACATTACTTTCATATTTATTCTCTAACCATTGATAAAATAGCTCCCATATACTATAATAATCAGATTCCTCCTTTCCTTTAATTGCCAGTGTTCATCTATTCATTTCTGCACATTCTAATATTTTCTTAATCGCATTTTCATCTGTAGGGATCTCTTCACTCTTCCAATTTTGTGCAAATACAAATGCAGTTATTATATGAATAATCAAATACATATTTTCTTTACTATATTTTTCTGACAAGATACCCAACAAGGTTTTAGATCAATATGTTGCTGTGTAATCTTCTCCAACCACATCCAAATTTTTGCCCAATATTTTTTGCTTCTACACATATCCACCACATATGATAATACGACCCCGGTGCCTGATGAGATTTCCAACATTTAATTGATTTGTCTTTAAACATTTTTGCCAATGTTTCAGGTGACATATGCCATCTATAAAACATTTTATACAAATTCTCTTTGTATGCAGTTGTCATTGTTAGTGTCAGGCTCCACTCCATTACATAATTAGGAAAGAAGATTAAGAGACTCCATGGGTTGGAAATCAAAAGTACTTTTACTAATTATAAATGGTAANTGCTATTGCTATTGCTATTACCTTCCCTACGGAGCAGCTGCTGGGCTCCCTTTCACAAGGAAGCCTCTGACAACACAAAGAGTGGGTCCCTTTCTCCACTTGCATTGGGGACTGCACAGCAACACACATTTTTTTTCATTTAAATCTGCCAGCAATAAAATTTCCCTTGAACTCAAGAAGAGGTTATGAACTATTACACATATTTCTTTCTTTATTGTTTGTTTTGAAAGACTAGAAAAGGAATCACCAAAATGTTTTATTCAATAATGAATAATGAAACAGTAATGAATAAAACATGCCCGTTTATTTGCCAGTCTACTTGCCTCACTGTTAATTATTACATTTCGGGTTCCTGTTTGTTTTTCCACTTTGGCCACTGAATAAAATAAATGGGGATTCATGGGCCGCAGCAGAAAATGCTCTGGGTGGAAATGGGAGGTGCAGGTGGCCTTGATTGCCCCTCACTCAGGGCAGAGGGGAGCAGGAAGAGCTCCCTTCCCCAGTTTGCCCTTGAGCTTTGGCAAAGAAGCCCAGTGAGGAACATGGGAAGCTTGATGGAGACCTGAGAACAAATGTGGGAGGAAGCTTCTTCAGATGTATTTCAAAGAAAAGGGAGAGAAAGTGGAAGCCTTTTCCAGATGCTCCGGGAAGGCACTGAAGGCCCCACCTGCTAACAAACGCTTTGGGTCGTATCTCTTCTAAGGAGGAACCAGGCTCAAAAAAAATACCTGGAATCATGGATGAATCACCATATAGATGCCAAAGTCCAACCTGGAAGAGCTGTTGTATCTGAGGAATACTAGGGAACAACTGAGAGGTGAACGAAAGAAAATATCACCTTCAAGCAGGGGGAAAGGAGGCACAAAATTAATCTGGCGTCAATTCTTGGGAATATTAGCACATCATAAAGACAACTATCTGAAAGCATCTTGAGAAATGTAGTAATTATTAGCAGTCAGCGTGGATTTGTCAGGAAGAAGGCTTATCAAAGCAGGCTTATTTCATTTTCTGACTAACTTGCTTAGTAGCAAGGATACGAAGGAAGATACTTTGCCAAGCGCTTCCATGAAATCAAGATAAATTATGTCTACTTCTTTATAGAAGGGAGTGTCATAGACATAAATTATCTTGAGTTTATTAAAGCACTTGACAAAGTATCCCATGATAACCAAACAGTTTGGTAATTAGGCACCGTTGGCACAATTAAGTAGATACCTAGTTGATTGAAGGGACTAAACAGAGACCAAACAGAAACCCCTGGAGGACGTGGTATCTGTGGACTGTTCTGCATGAAATATGGAAGGGGACGAAATAACCAAGAATATCCTCCCCATTTCTGCCAGATACACTTTTTCAGCATTAAAAGACCAGGTGTTGCAGCCCGAGGTCTCAGCCAAGGAAGCTCAGCTGATGTGAGAGTCCAAGTAATGGCAACTGACCTGCCGTTCTTCCAGTGGCAAGACTCTTTTGTGGGTGCAACACTCTGTGGCAACGTTACCTTCCTCCTACATAGCTCTCCCTGCCCTTCTGAAACAGGCGTGTGCTGGTAGTTGGGTCTTCATTGCCTTTTGTACAGCATCTCCTTCCGTTCGAGAAGAAACCAAGACGGCTGCTTAGCCTCTTCTTTCTGCCTCCGTCACAACAGCTTTTCCCCCCCAAAAATCCAATTTTAGCCTAGCTAGCTTACAAAAGCCAGAGGAAAGTGGGGAAAGGAGCTGTTTTACGGATAGTCCACTTCCACTCCAGGCCTGCAAAAGGGCCATTTCTCTATCCTGGTTTCCTATTCCTGGAAGCAAACGAAGCCAGAGGTGGGGAAAGCAGGAGAATTGCTGCTGTTTGAACCTGCAGAATACGCTGGGCACGGAGGGAGCTGCTTGTACAAATGCTATGAGATCTGCTTTGTCCCAGCACAAGGTCTGCTTTCTCACAGTGCAATGGGTACAGAGGACATCTGAAGGCAGAGAGCAGGATGTGCAGGAGGAGGAGGAGGAGGCTGGAGAGACTCATCCACATTTACTCCATTGGGCATCCAGACCAGGAGAGCAGCAGCAAAGGTCAGCCGTTCCTTCCGTGGCCTCCTCAATTCCTGGCACTGCAGAAGCACCCAGGACTCCCCCAGACGGGCGAGCCAGGAGCCTCCCTGGCTGACCCCAGGGCACTGCCTCTCTTGCCGGGTGCCTTTGACAGCTCAGAGCCCCTCCAGCTTGGGGGAGGGGGTCAGCCTGCAAGGGCAGCCGGGGCAACATGGCAAGTGGCCCCCAGCTGTTGAAATGGGGCATCTGGGGAGGGGGGGAGCAGATAAAAGAGCGAGGCCCAAACTCACAGCCAGCCGCCCAAGGGTCTCTTGGCACAGACAAGGGCGTGATCCTGACCCATGCCCTTCCAGAGGGAGAGGCAGTCCTGGCAAAGACCTCTGGATGGGCAGGGCACCCGTCCCACCTCTGCCCCCCCCGCCTCTCTTTCTTCCTGCCCTGCTGCTCAAAAGGTTGCAGGGGTCATCACCAGCCCCACCCACCCAAAGGTTGTGAAGAGAACTCTAATCAGGAAACGCCAGGTAATCCTCACTTAGCGACCACAATTGGGACCAGCTACTGCTTAAGCAGAAAATCGTGTGAGTGCGACTGAGCTTACAACTTGGCAACTCCTCTGGTTCTTAAGTGAGGACGTCACTAACTGAAAAATCACACAACTGCAATTTACAATCTTGCTTCAGCTTTCCATACTGTACAGTTTGAATTCTGTTTATTACAAGTCAATTGCGACTTACACAAACAGCGACTACGGGGTTGAGATGCTGCAATGGTCGCAAAAACAAGAACAGATTGCAAAGTTAGTTTTTTGCAAATGGCCACTGCGCAAGGCAGTCAGTAAGTGAGGATTGCCTGTATATAACAGGACCAGGCCTGTCTCCTTTATTTCGCCCCTTTGATAAGGTCCAAAAAATCCACACGCTCGGGTTCCATTACCATCTTGCCTATCCAGGCCACGTCCCCGCCTTTGAAACGGCGCCCCTTCAAGACCCCAACTCTTCCCCAGCACTGTAGTCCCCCCCCCACACACAGGCTGATCTGCTTCGTTTTATTTACTTTGCTTCCCCCCGTGACTTTTATGTGGATTTGATTGTTGTTGCTGATGCTCCAGCCGTGAGCTGAGCAACAGCTGTACAAATCAAGGCAGTAACGGAAGAAGAGCACAAACTCCCTCTAAGAGAGGCCGGAGGCGGGTTGCTCCCGGATCGGGCGAACTGGCAGTAGCGGTGGTGAGAGGCTCCGCCCACCCAGAACCAGTAGTAAAAAAACTGACAACCCCCCCTGGAAGAGGCCCATACGCACTCATCCAGCCAGCTGTGCCTCCTCCGTCTTCCCTCTGGGGCAGTGGTGGGTTTCAAAAATTGTTCGAACCTACTCTGTGGGTGTGGCCTCCTTTGTGGGAGTGGCTTGCCGCCCATGTGACCGGATGGGAGTGGTTTGTGACCGGATATGAAGATGCCGACGACACTTGTCAGAACCACCTTAAATCACGTCACACACAGCACTGGCATGCATAAGAATACGATGTAAGCTTGTTTCTTAAAAGACATCTTTGGTTTGCGTTAACACAACTTCAACACACAAAATGTTCTGATTGCTCCCCAAACGCAGTAGTCATCCTTACCTTTCAC